CAATTTTGTCTGATATGTGAATTATTTATTAGCCTATTTTTTTTTAATCCATGCAGCAAATGCTTTAAAAACAGCTTTAAAAATTACTTTATTGCATTCCAGACGCTTTTAAAGTACTTTTCACTATAAATTTGACGGGTAGCTTGAATGTAAAACATTGTCAGGAATTCGTTGTATTCCCATTTGTAAAATAGCCTACAAATTAATTGCCGTGTAGGCTAACCCGATCTCATGAAAGTGCATATAGCACGATTTTCTGCTTCTATTTGGCGTAGCCTAATATTTCTATGCAGAAATTGACTTGGCATGCAAAAGACTGATGAATTCATAATTAATGGCATGGCTGGTTCAGTCGACAGAAATACGTGACACACAGGCCTATAATAACTGCTGAAATGTTTGCGGGGTAAATCTCAGGTCAGTCTGAGCGCTCATGGTACTCACAGTACGTACAGCCGTACACCTGCAGGCTTCACTGCATGTGTGTGTGTGTGTGTGTGTGTGTGTGTGTTTATTCAATAGAAATCTTATCTGTTGTTTATTCAAGGATGCCCTCTGGTGGTAGGAACCATGTATGTGAAGTTTAATTCCCCAGTCTGGCCACTGCTAAAGAGGTTCTGACAGACTTTGAGCTGCGTAGCTGTTATTAAGCCTCCTTACTGAAGCAGATCTCCTCTCCTCATGCATCAAGCAGAAGGATTAAACAAAGAAACTCCTCTGGGTGCTTAATAGCCCAAGATAATCTGACCTCCTTTCTGCGTTAATTGTGAAACATGCTAGACCCTGTCTTTTATCTGAGCTCCCTTAAAAATCTGCCAAATCTCTCAGTGTTAGTTTCTCACCTGAAAGGGACAAATTAATCAAAAGTGAAAATTGTGTCATCATTTATTCAGCCTCATGTCGTTCCAAACCTCTTCTTTCTCTCTTTCTTCTGTGGTTGATATTTTGAAAACTAATATATTTTGAAAGAGGTTCAAACAACATTGGACCTTTCAAAATGGTGCTAAATATTTTAACACATTGTTTAAACTGTAAAATTTCAAACTATTGGTATTCTTGAAAAATCTTCGTAAAAGAAAACTTAATTGCCTATGAAAATATTTCATGTGTGTGAAAAATAAATAATTAAAAATATTTTTTAAATACATATTAAATAAAATGTAAAAAAAAGGGTAACATTACATTTTTAAAATGTAAACGTATAAATAATAAATCAGAATTATTATTTAGCATTCCATGGAAGAAAGAAAGCCATAGCTTGGGATGACATGAGAGTGTAAATAACGACAGGATTCTCATTTTGGGGTGAACTATCCCTTTAAGGAATATTTGACTTTTTTTGTCCCTCAATACAAATACGCAAAGAAACGAATGAGATATGCTGACAGAACGTAAATGAAGATGTTGTAGAGCCAGACACATACGTTTTTGTTTTGTCCTTCATCCTCTCCATCGGAGGAAATGGAGAGTTCTTCTGCACTTGATGGAATGGTCTCAAAATCCTCAGCGTCCATTGATGGCAGACGCCGTTGACTCCATCCTGGAAAACAGTACACACGAGCTAACATCATTCACCAAAAACCTTATGAGCGACGATGCTCAGGGAATAGTCTAGTGCTCGTTTGCCAGAAAAATCTTCTGTGAAAGGAAGACAAGATGTTGAAGCAGTCAATGTAAATAACTCTGACGGATTCTGTCACCGTCAGGCATCGAATGAGGAATGAAAATAGATGAAAACAACCGAGAGAACCCAATATGATTGGCATATCACTGCCTCTTTTCACATGATTACCTGGCTGAGACGCAGACCTCGGAACAGCGGGCTGGGTACCGGCAGTACCTTTACTTTTGCTCTCAGCGGGAAGTGCACCTCGCATGGTGTCTGTGAGGAAATTCACTGTCTTATCAAGTTTGCCAGAAAAATCTTCTGTGAAAGAGAGACAAGATGTTGAAGCACTCAATGTAAATAACTCTGACGGATTCTGTCACCGTCAGGCATCGAATGAGGAATGAAAATAGATGAAAACAACCGAGAGAACCCAATATGATTGGCATATCACTGCCTCTTTTCACATGATTACCTGGCTGAGACGCAGACCTCGGCACAGGGGGCTTGGTACCGGCAGTACCTTTACTTTTGCTCTCAGCGGGAAGTGCCCCTCGCATGGTGTCTGTGAGGAAATTCACTGTCTTATCAAACATGACCTCTTTAGTGCTAGCAGTGCAGGTGAAACGGAACCTCACATTAGCATGCATGAATCAGTAACAGTCAACTGCCGAAAAAAAGGGAAAATGACCACAGAAAGTCACTCGCATCAACAGAAAACTACACACAACCTTATCTGAACAAGAGAGAGCATGATAAAACAAGGCACAGCTCAAATTCAGAACGCAGAGGGGAAGGAAATATGATAGATTTGGAGGATGATACACGTTTGCTATGAACTGAAACCCACCACAACAACACCGCAGTGCAAGCAACACATTCCGAAATCAGAACAGATAAACAAAACAAGCATCAAATGAATTCTGGTAGCCTGATGGTTAAGACCAATGCAGGCTCAACTAAACACGAGGCTTTTTCGAAATTCTTGGTATAGTCTTGGTAGCATCTGTAAGAATGGGTTGGAAATGACAAATCAGTAATGTAAGGCCACGTATGCCAATTTATTATAATTATATACTATAATAATTATAATAACTGTAGAATTTAAATCTATTTTAATTTAGAATTTTAATCTATCTAATGCAGTTTTCTTCAGTGAAAGAAAAAATATATATATTTTAAAAGTAAAAATAAATATTAACGTAAAAAACGCATCTAAAACGCGCTTAAAATTAAAAAAGTATTTATGAAAATCATTTTGAATAATAATAACAATAATATCAATCATCGTTTTTTGTTGAGCACTGATATGGATATAAACAATTAAATAAGGAAAAGTTATATTTACAAAATAATTTCAGAAATAAATATTAATAAATGTGAAAATATACTTTTAAATTAATAACAACAACGCTAATAACAACAACAATAATACAATTTATAAAAAGATAAACACTCTCACTAAAAAAAATGCATGTAAAAATTTTAATATTACATTATTCATAATAATTGTTTTAACTTTATATTTTGTGTTGAGGCCTGGTAATGGATAAAAAATAATAACAACAAAGTAATATAAAAAAAAAACATTGTAAAAAATATACTTTTAATGAATAATATGAACAATAACAACAATAAAAAATAATACGTTGTAAAATAAACTGATGTTTGAATGCATGTACATTATTATTTAATTATTCATAATAATAATTTGTTTTTGTTTTTTTTATCTTTTTTTGTTTTGAAAATAATAAACATTGCTAAATAAATGCATGTAAAAATAAATATTAATTTATTATTAATAAAATAATACAAAGTAATTTTGTAAGATCACAAACTTGCATGGTACCCTTAACTCCAAATTGTTCCAGAAAAATTGTCCTAGCAAACAGTGTCCAGTCGCTTTGAATAAAAACCATCTGGCCACTTACTATAAACAATAAATGAATAAAAACAAACCAACAAACATCTAGCATTATGTTAAACATGCAACATGCTGTGCAGTCCATGTGGTACCTTCATAGCCAAATGGTGTAGGGTCGCTCTTGACCTGATGCCTCTTGCTCTTAAGGCTAGAGGAGAGAGGAACTAAGCACAAACATGCGTTTCTGTTAGAAAAGAAGTCCAGCTCATCTATCACAATCTCTCAACTGATCCATCCAAGATTAATTATCACAATAATCAATCATTATTCCTCTGCAGTTGCAACGCTTTCATTACAATAAAAGAGAATAATGGGGCCACGAGAAACAAGGCTCATGTGCATCTAAATTCTCCTTCACATTCCCAGAGCTGCGCAGCGGGGCTACACTGCTAAATGTCACGCCACATCCCAAATGTCAGCTTATCAAGAGTCAGTATTTATTATTCATTGCAGCTGTCCCTTCATGTTTTTAGGGGATTCATTTGCTGTGAAGTGCACAGTTTGAATCTATGCATTTCAAACATTTCATACGAGCTGTAATGAAGAAGCTTGGGATGACAAAGGTTCATAGTAAAATATGAAAAAATGTAACAATGCCAGTCTCGGAGTAAAAAGCCCACTGGACTTTCAAGGTGGGCCAGAGAGTTGGGACATCAGGTTGCCAGAGTGCTCAGCTTTTGAATAAGCGGGACAGGCACACCCAGCCCCCTGTGGAGCAGGACATACAGTATCGGTAGTATCGATAGAGCCCAATACTGACTACATTTGGAGTGACAGACGGCTACTTCTGAATGTCTGCATGTACACTACTTGTCTGCTGTTTGGGGTTAAAATTATTATTTTAAAGAAATTAATACTTTTATTCAGCAAGTATGCATTAAATTAATCAAAGGAGACAATAAAAGCACATATAATGTTACAAAAGATCTCTATTTTAAATAAATATTGTTCTTTTAAACTTTCTGTTCATCAAAGAATGCTGAAAAAAATAGTTTCTACAAATAAATTAAGCACAACTATTTTCAACCTGATAATAATAATAAATGTTTCTTGAGCACCAAATCAGTTTATTAAAATGAGGAATATCACGATTCACGATTTTATCACGATTCTTTGTCATGTTGGTTTTACTATTTTGCAAGTTGCCTGAGCAGTACAGCCAATCCAATTTCCCTATTGTAAAAAAAAAAAAAAAGCCTTTCAAGGTAACACAAAATAAAATAAAAAAGAATGACAGACATTTAGGCCAAAGTGGGCGAAGATAAAAATCATTGTTATTATTTTATCTTTGTTATTAGAAAATAAGAACAAAATATATACATTACAAAAACACATAATATGCATAAGTTGTACTAATATTTCACAATATTGTAAAAATGCCCTGGTCAGCATCAGACATAAAAAAATCTTACCAACCTGGTAAAATACTGTATTGTATATATGAATAAAACAACAATACTGAAAATAAAAAGAGAAAATTACTCTTAAACCACTCCTCTTAATTGAATTATTTGAAGAATGTGGGTAACCAAACAGTTGCTGGTCCACAGTGACTTCCATAGTATTTTTTTCCTACTATCAAAGTCAATGTGGACCAGCAACTGTTTGGTTACCCACATTCTTCAAAATATCTTCTTTTGTGTTCAGCATATATGTTGCACTGTACAGCCCTGTTTGTGTGTGTATATATATGGGCCTGAATTTCGTTTTGGAAAATGGGGAGGAATTCCCCCTTTAGGTGGCTCTTATGGGGGGGATTTTTTTAATTTGAGGGGCGAGTTAGAGTATTTTTGTAGACATATATTTAAACTACAATCATCCAACCTAAATGTTTTGTCACCCAGTGTATTTGTGTTTTACAATTTATAATGTTGTTGATTCATATTTATATTGTGAGGAAGATACTTAAAAAGAACTTTGATTTCAAACTCTGAATTGAATTTATTTTAACTAAAAAAGACAAGTAAACAGTCAGAAATAAAATAAGAACTGATAAATGACAACCAATGGCACAAACAAATACATTAACAAGATAGAACTAAAATGAGTTTTTCAGGTAGGTATAACAGTAATATTCAGGTACAGAAATATCACAGAAACAGAATCATCTATTTAACTTTAAAATAACACTGGTTAGTCTTCAATGTATAAATAAACATTAATGACAGACAGCAGCAGGTTTATTTAGGTTGCTGTCTCTTTAAGACCTCATGCACGGATCTGTTACGCATAAGTTTTGTTTCTCAACTGTTTACATTCACTTAATATCCTATATACCGACAATGTTTAATATAAATCGACTGTTTACGTGAATACTCATCAAGACGGGCATTTTGACATAATTTTGTAAGTATTTGGCCATTTATGCGCAATAAGGCGCAACAACTTCATTCTGTAGTTGCGTGCTCTCAGATGCGGCTCTATGTACGCGCGCTTTGGGTGTGAGCTCTCAGAAAGGGGTCTCACAGAGAGCGCGCAAGTACTGAATTGATCACTTGAATGTTTAAAATTGTAAGACTCAAAAGCATGTGCAAATGATACATTCCGTCATCTGTCCCGAGTGTCTTTCACGCTGAAATATTTGCAAAAACTGCGGGAATCAGTAGAATTGTGCGCAATCCCGTGCCGAAATTCAAGCCCATATATATATATATATATATGGTCACAGTATGGACCTTGTTTTCTATGTTTCCCTGTTCTCTTGTCTTGCTTTTGGTCATTGACCTAGTTTCTGTCTCCCCTTGATTTCATTAGTTAGTTCACCTGTGTCTTGTTAATCATTCTCATTTGGTCAGTGTACTTTAGTTTCCCTTTCAGTTCAGTTTGTTGTCAGCTATTGTCGTTTTGTTTCCCTGTGTGTCTATTGAATCTTCATCATCTTGGATTATTATTAAATGCTTATTGAATCATCTTCGTCTCTGTGCTCCTATCTCGCACAAGCGTGT